TGGTTTCTTTAATACAGACAGCATAGAAGAAAAGAGTGAGAATTATTTTTTGGTGAGTAGATAATTTTTTTTTCTTACATAGAAAGATTTTCAAGGCCTTTTCGAAAAAATAATATTTATTAAATTAACATATATATGTAATTTATTAAACTTTAAAAAATTTGGAAACTCCTTACCTCAGCAAACAAATTTACCATGAAGACATTTTTAAAAACTTAATAAAGAAATATTTTGTTAAGTTTTTAAAAATCTTATTATTCTGAAAGGAATGTGAAGTAAAAAAAAAATTTTTTTTTTACATCATGCCCATGGCGGTAGCGAAACGGCTAAGCCACATATTTTGACTAAGGTGTAGATTTTGGGCACCCCCAGCTCAAAAAATGCTATGACATCCTTACTCCTAAGCAATATTTTCCAAAATTCTTCAGCAATGAGTTGTTAGAATTAATAATTGAAATGACTAATTTATATTCAGTACAAACTAGCGAGAAATCCATATGTGTGACGCAAAAAGAAAAAGAAATATTAATTGGAGTAGAAATCATAATGGGTATTGTAGACATGCCGGCAGTCGAAGATTACTGTAGTGCTGATTTGAAGTATGAGCAGATTGCATCCGCTATGTCACTTAAACGATATAGATGTATCAAACGTTACTGGCACTTTTGTGATAACACAAATGTAGACAAAAATGATCGTTACCATAAAATTACTCCCGTCATGGATTATGTTCGTCAGCAGTGCTTGAAGATAGAAGAAGAACGGTCGTTTGCAATCGATGAAATGATTATAGCTTACAAAGGTAAAAGGCCCGCAGTAGAAAGCAATACATGCCAATGTACTGCTTTCTGCTGCCAAAATGGGGGCCAAACACCAACACTTTCCACGGTGTCAGTTTTAGCGAATGGGAAGAAGATTTTCTTGGGGTTGGAGGTAAAATAGTTCTCGGGCTATGTAGAACCATTTCCAATCCAATAATTAACACAGTATACTTTGACAACTGTTTTACGTAACTTGAAATTATATATTATTTGCGTAAGGAGTTGGGCATTTTGTCTTTAGGCTTACAATTGATGACAAAACTGATGACTGACAAAGCAATGATAAAAAGGGACGAAGAACATTTGAGGTAGTACGTGTTAATTTCAAAAGAGTAGCCGTAACAAAGTGGTTGTATAGTCGATTTATATAGCAAGTTCATTTTGTGCCTAAGATCCAGTTGGTACTAGTATTGCCCAAATGCAAGAACAAGACGAGACTTAGCCAGTCTTGGTCTAGGTCTTGCGCCAATAAACCTGGTCTTGTTCTTGGTCTTGGTATTGCGCTCTCAGTCATGTTCTTGGTCTTGGTCTTGCAGAAGGAGTCTCGCAAGTCTCGCAAGCCTATTGCTATTTATTAAACGTTACTTTAGATCTTAGAACAACTTAACACAGTAGGCACATTTTGAGCTTGAATTAACATAGCCATAGAAAGACCAACCAAATTAATAAATGTCTAAACATTTAATGAGAAATTCGAACTATACCACTATACAAATAACTAATACCGGGTGGGGTTTGAACCCACGACCTAAGCGATCCGTGCCGAACCAACTGAGCTGTCTACCATGTCTCACGGCCACGGGAGTTAGTCTGTTTCTTAATAAACGTTTACATTTAATAAGCTTACATGTGCTAAGACTTAGGCAAAACATATAAAAATCAAATTAATGACATTAACCCTTTACGGCGCTGAATAGCAGATCTGCATCATACCAGTAGAATCCGCAAAGTAGTTCAAAGAAATGAACAATACACCTTATAACGCAGCATTGCTTATCTGCAGCAAAGCATTCTATCGAAATAAGTACCAAAGTCTGTGATAGATGGCGCTATTTGTAATTTTTGACCATTTGAAGTGACCAGTCTACGAGAAACGGTGTGCGTAGTTAGCGCGCGACTTTCATTGTAGTTTTTGAATAGTTATATTGAAAATATTAAAGAGAAATTGCAGTGGAGTAACGGTAAGTTGTTGCTTTTTAATAATAACATATAATTGAAACTATTTATATTGTTTTTATAGAAATAGTTTTGATTTTTGTTTTGATGCAGTAATGCATCATTGCGCTAAACGGTTATAAATTATTTCTTTTTTGCTCATATGAATATTTTCTTATTTCAGGCCGAATATGAGTTCGATGATTCCACGTTCAGGTCCTAGGCTTCCGATTTTATCGTCCAACGACTTGGAAAGCATTTTAGAACAATGGCAAGACAGTGAGGATGGCTTAGATTTCTCAAACGACGATGATGTAGCAGATCCATCGTACGTATTGGAGGAGAATGAACAAAATTTACGTCAAGCCTCAGATGAGGAGCCCGATGTTCCCTACCCAGAAGATCAAGACGACAACATCTTGATAATGAACTCTGAGACTAATACCAGCGCTTCAGCTCAACCATGTGAGACACCGGCTGCCGTTCTACTACCCAGTACCAGCTCCGAAATAGGAACCACGCCACGAAGCACACGTGTTCCTAAAACAAGTATCATATGGAAAATTAAAAACTTAGAGCTGAATGAAGACCAGATGAGGTTTCGGGGATCTTCCAAGTTACCAAATGAAACCCTAGAATTGAAGACGCCTTATCAGGTATTTTCTTATTTATTTACTGACGACATTGTGAATCTGATTAGAGACGAAACTAACCTGTACAGCGTGCAAAAAGATGCCAGTAAACCTATAAACGTCACAAGCCAGGAAATAAGGCAGTTTGTTGGAATTACTTACTTCATGTCCATAGTTCATCTACCTAATGTGCGAATGTATTGGTCAGAGAAATATGGCTATGCCCACATACGTGAGACGATGCCGCTTAAACGGTTCGAGTTTATGAGGCAAGTACTGCACTTCAATGATAATTCTAAAATGCTACCATATGGTCAGCCAAACTCTGATAGACTATATAAAATCAGACCCATAATAGAAAAACTGAACCGTAACTTTGGAAAAGTGCCACTAGAACAACATTTGTCTGTTGATGAACAAATGTGTTCAACCAAAGCACGGAGTGCTCTAAAGCAATATTTGCCAGACAAACCCAACAAATGGGGCTTCAAACTGTTCGTTATTTGTGGTGTAAGTGGATACGGCTACAAGTTTGAAGTTTACAGTGGCCAGGAGAATATATGCGCAGATGGCGAGCCTCAATTAGGTGCCGCATCCAATGTAGTGGTCCGACTTGCCAGAGAGATTCCTGTCAACCAAAACTATAGACTGTTTTTTGACAACTACTATACATCCCTACCTTTGATAGAGTTCTTATCACACCGTGGTATATTAGCTTTGGGCACCGTTAGGAGAAACCGCATCCCTAACTGTAAACTCCCAGATGAAAAACAGCTGAAAAAAAGACCGAGAGGCACGTCAGTCGAACAGGTTGCAAGCTATAACGGTATCGACATATCAGTGGTGGCCTGGAGAGATAATAAAATTGTGAACCTAGTATCCAACTTTGCTGGCAAAAATCCCACATCTGCCGTATAATCGTCATATGGGAGGTGTAGACCTTATGGACTGTGTAATGGGTCACTATAAAATAAAACTTCGTAGCAAACGTTGGTTTATAAGACTCTTTTACCATTTTCTGGACATGACTATGACTAATTCTTGGTTATTATATAGAAGGATTCATGCTGACACTGAAAATACTGAGAAGCTGCTAAGTTCTGCAGATTTTCGACTTGAAATTGCTGGAACATTAGGAAAATATAAAAAGACAAACCGCCTGAAGCGCACCAGTAACGTGGAAGCACTCATCCAAGACAAAAAGAAAAAAGGGCGTTGTCAGCATATCCCACCGAAAGATGTTCGGCTAGACCAGTCAGGGCATTGGCCAGTTTGGACGGAAAAAAGGCTTCGGTGCAAATTTCCAGGCTATACTGGAACAGCCCAAACCGAATGTGAAAAATGCGGCGTAGCCTTATGTTTCAACAGAAATAACAACTGTTTCCGTTCCTTTCACAATTCGTAAGTTGTGAAAGGACGACACCCGTTCACAACTAACGTTTTCATCTGTTTTCACACCATAATGCACATCTGCATCACGTTATTTTTTCCAAAAATAAATACTTGTTTTATATATGATTATTTTTTTATTATTTTTCCCATTATTCTACAGCTTGTCTTAACCTGTTTTCAATAAATAAAATCAAAAACTTGTTTTTGCGCCGTAAAGGGTTAACTTGACTGTATTATAAAGAACATTATCTGTCTAGAAATAGATTGATAGACCCTTTACGAAATGGAATAAAAGAATTATACAATTTACCATTTATTTAAATAAAAAAATAAAATACAATACAAATTAAATTGCATAACAGTACACAACAGCTTTGACATTACTGTTACTTTATATTAATTCTTTTGACCAAGAATTAATACAAAGTAACCATCTGGCTGACTCATCACTTAACCTATTTCTATGTTTTCTAATTACTAATGATGCTTTGGAAAATAATCTCTCAGCAGGTACTAAAATTGCAGGTATTGAAAGAAAATCACGGGCCATCTTCGATAAAGTCGGATATTCTGTCTCATACGTCCTCCACCCCTCTAAAATGTCTTCCGAACTGGCGGCTCTGTGTTTACTTAGGTACTCCTCCAACTCGTCTATAACTAAGCCTTGATGAAAAGATCCAGATCCAGATGACGTCGAGGGACATGCATACAGTTTCTCAAAGTCTATTACGTCTTAATCTTCATCATATTCACATACTTTCTTTTCATTTCTTGGTGATTCTAGAGATGTATTCACTGAGTGTAGACTTTTATATTCTTTATAAAGTTCATTAAATTTGCGCAAGCTTTCTGTTTTAATTTGCTTCCCCCATAATGTCATGTCAAAAGTCTGAGTTTTATACCTTGGGTCTAAAATTAAAGAGGTACAATAAATTCAGTTGCTCTTTTTATAATGTTTAAGCATTTTGTCTCGAGCTGCTTGAAAACCCAGAATGAGCCTTTAATCCACTTCGGATCGATTAGGTTTCTCATCTAATTGTTTTACCATGGATTCAATTTTATCGAGCAAGGGATTGAATGATACAATGACTAGCGGTAATGTAACATATTTTTCTCCACCAAGTTTCGTTGATAGAAGTTTAAAGTTTATTAGAAACTTATGTATTTTTTCGAGTATTTGCCATTCACTATCTGTGATTTGAAAATCATTCAATTCAGTGACAGAAGTGCACAATATGTTAATGCCAGTTCTCACTTTTAAACCAAATCCAATCATATCATGTGTGGAATTCCATCTCGTTGGACAGTCGAGTATGGGGTTCAGATTTGATGGCACGCCAGCTGCTTCACAAGCAGACTGAAACTTCCTCTTCAATATCTCACTTCTTTTTATTTTACTGGAAATACTGCGTAATTTTGTTATAGCTGTACGTGAGTCAGCAATATTTGGCGCATATTCTTCATCTTCCTCAGTTTCGTCTTCATTGTCTTCATACTGCTGTTCTTGTCCCTTATTGTCAGTTTCACTGTGTAATGCTAAGGTCTTTAATAAATCTTGTACACCAAGGTTCAAAATGTGAGCAAAGCACCGGAAATGTTGATTGTCTGAATCAAAGTGTGGCAGCTGTTTGTCCAATTCATGCATAAATTTGGTATTTGCAGTTGCGTTGTCGACCGTGATACCCTGTATTTTATCAATTATGTCATATTACAATAAACATTCGTGGAAAATTGTTGCAATATCTTCCACAGTATGTCGACCGCGTGATGGTATAAAATCAAGGACTACAGATCGATACTTCCATTCGTTGTCTATATAATGAATAGTGACCCCGTAGTAACTCCTACCAGCAATTGACGTTCATTCATCAATGGTAAATGACATTTTAGATGAAAATTGTTGTAGTCGTTTCTTAAGATTCAATTGAAGCTCTTCAAACCGTTCTTTGACTTTCCTTCTAAGTGTGGACCTTTTAGGAAACACCATATTTGGGCACATTGATCGAAAATATACTTGTGTAGCTTCGTCATCGAAAAATGAGAAGGGAAGATATTTTTTAACCATCCAATCAACTGTAGCTGTCGTGATGTTGTGTGTCACTGCTATTTTCAGACTGAAATAAAACAGTAAATCATGTGTCTCGCCGATTATAAAACAAATGAAAATATGAGTGAATTATAAATACATATTAAACACTATAATCATAACTAACTAACTATAATATATATATATATATATATGTATGTATATATATATACAATATGTAACGTAATTAACGCACACCCTCAGACACCCCAATAAGTATATTATGTTATAATCATTATACATACACTGACTTTTTAATTAAACATGTTTATGCATTGATTATTTATTAAATTAGTTATACTAATTCCGGAACAATTTTGTGGTCACAGTATAAATCCACGAACGCACGCAGTCGCTCACGTAGGTATAGGTTTTGAGGGTCTTTCTATCACAGTAGGTACCTATTTGCTCGCGTTCGAGACGAGTTAACGCCGCCGTCGCCGTGACACAACTGTAGGTAGGTATAAGTACCGAAAAAAGCTGACAATACACAATTGTTTATGTTAAAAAAATACCTACCTAAGATCACTAACTGATGTTCGTACTCCGACCATCGAGTTGTTTATTTAAGTCTAGTAAACATTTGATCGCATCTTTCAATCACACTTCAACCATTGGACTTTCGACTCTGAATAATTTTGTTTATTGATTATGATACAATGTCAATAGGCAATATTCGTTACAAAATGTTATGAATTTGCATAATATTTGAATTGTAATTGTAAATAATAATAAACTGCTAAAACTAAGAGGCAATACGAAAACATAATTCAAAGACGGCGTGTTTAAAAGATGTGAATCAAGATTATAATAATTTTAAGAATCAAATATTTAACTTACTGATAGCCTAAACTCTCATGCAACGTTGTATTTTAATACATTTTCAAAATGTCCACTACGGCTACGTGGCGCAGTGACTTAGCGCTGCCTACAAATAATTGTTCCGAGTCTGGATGTTTGTCCTTGTGAAATTTATGTATGTACACTGCCCTCACAATACAAGAGAAAATCCTACTGTGGAGGTTACGTTTTAAAAAAGGAAAAGAAAGAAAATAATTTAGAAAGCAATTCAGTGTCATTTTTCACTATTCTAAAATCGTTTACTCATAGAATTAATATTTTAAGGTCCTCGGCACTTGTTGTCTCACTAAAATAAACTAATGATTTAATACGTATTAATATTTAATACGTGCGTAATCAGGTGATCTGGGAGGTCAATGGCCCTTTATAAGGTACTCCAAACTCTGTATTTGTAAAGACTTTAACGTACTTGAAATAAGGTTCAATTTTCTTTATTTTGTATTGAATGACGGAATTTGTATTAATACAAATAACACTGCACTTTTAAAAGTCTTATTGCCTTGAGTTATGGTCCATTCTGTCTGACTGTAAATTACGTAGTTTCAATTATTTTTGAATAAAAAAAATTACCTATATTAAAAATGATAGAAATCGATTCAGTAAACGATTCTGAACAAACTACTTTCTCAAAGTGCGTTAATTATGTTGTTACGTGTTGTATATATACATAACTACCACTCAGTGACTGACTATAACGATATCTCAGGAACTATAAAACATACAAACTTGAAGTTTGTAAGGTAGGTTCCTTTTATGGCATAGAGATTAGTTAAGAAACAGTTTTGAGAAAATCTATCCCTAAGGGAATGAAATGGGACTTGGAAGTTTGTATGAAAGTCCTACGTTTTTGAAGTTAGAGACACGAAAATAGGCATTAAAGTTATAAGTTTTCAATAATAAAATCCTGAATAAGCAGTTTTACGAAATCCTAACCCTAAGGGGGTGAAATTGGGGTAAAATTGTTACATGCAAGTCCTATATTTTTAAAGTATAGATATGATCGTCATTTACTTTATTAGTTTTAAATAATAAATACTTGCATAGTTAAGCTTTACCTATATAGCCTCTTTATACTTAGGTAAGACTTTTGCAGCGGGAAAATTTCAAAATCTCATAGGAAATCAGATATTGTACGCGGACGAAGTCGCGGGCGGCCGCTAGTTACATAATATATGTGTTATGTAATTGTGTGATAAGTATATTTTTTCTTACCTGTCCACTTTTTCCGGTGGTTATTAAAAAGCTTGTGATATCTCTACTTAATTTTGGTTTTTCAGGAAGAAATATTTGTGATTCCTTTTTGTGGAAAGATATTAGATGCTTCCGTAAGCCTGAAGTGTTTCTGTTTTTCATTTTTATTTCAACCTTTTTATGTTGGCATAATTTACACAAAGCAATTTGGGATGCATGAATTATGTCGAAAAACTCATCAAATTTGCTTTTAGGTCTATAACTCCAACTCTCACTACTCCGACTAGAACTATTCGACTCTTCGTCACTCATATCAAATTGTAAACTTATCACTCCGAGAACAACAAGGATTAGAGTAAAAACAATTAATACATTAGACTCGAAGCAAAGCTCAATTGGGAATGACTGGAATTAAAATAAATACTACTATTTGTAAGTACACGCCGAAAGACCGACAAAGGAAAGTTCGGCATTCTTTGATAAAAATAACGATTCTTCAGAAGATTAATAAAGTAGATGCGTTGCCAGTAGGTATAGTGTGCCTACGTAAAAATGAAATGTAAATATGCAAATAAAATTGTGTATATTATGTTCTTCTTGTGATTGAGTTAATCTACGTTAATTACATTAAATTTACCTTCACTCGTTCGAAATTCAAAATTCAAATATGTTTTATTCAAGTAGGCATTAAAAATACACTTTTGAATAGTCATATAATCACTGTTTTCCCCAATTTTGTCTTTTCCATGTAGGAAAGTAAGAAACTAAGTAGTTGCTCTTTTTAAAATATTTTTACAATAGTACTATAATTATGTAAAGCGATAAGTCAAACATAAAATGTCAAATGTATATGTAGGTACCAAATCGGTTTAGAAATTTCTAGTTAGTCCTGTGTAGTACGAGAGGTCAGTTCCAAGCATTTTTGTCTGACTTAAATTAAAAAGGTGAAAGATCTAACATTTCTTTTGGAATCTTATTATAAAAGCGTATATCGCTACCCAAGAACGCATTATATACTTTGTGTAACCGGAAAGCAGGTATTGTGATTTTATTTTTATTTCTACTATTAAAATTGTGCAAATCACTATCACATCAATTCGATGCAATCAATTTCTTTAAACGGTTCTCTAAGAGATACTCGGGCTCCTAAAAAGTACATAGATCTTATTTTACGCTTTTTATTTAATATGCACACTTTTTATATTATTCGATTAGCATTTTACAAAATGTTTACACGTTTCAAGTGTGTTAAAAGTGTCTACAATATTTATCAAATGGGTGACGACATATTCGAACACTTTGTGTTCAAAAACACACACTTCCAAAAATCGAGATTTGCAGTGAACTTATTGAACATGTTTATCTATTAGGTAATAATAATAAAAGTAAGTAATTATTATAAACCCATATAGTTAATATTATAATAATTACTTACTAGAATAAATTATTATGGTATCTACCTATCCTTACCATTATCTAATTACAATATTCCTTGCGAGATCAGCATAATGTATTCGTGTCCATTCTGAGCACCCGGAAACTTATTTTATTCTTTGGAACATGTACTCTGTGGCGGCATTCAAACAGTGTCAAATGTAGTGCGTGCAGCGCGGCGGCGAAGATTGAATGCGATATTAATAGAAGCCGCCGGCGCGTGTATCTTGACCTTGTACTTCCGAATAGCTGCAAAATTTCTTTGACAGGTCAGTATTCGACCTTTGATGATGCCGACAACAAGACGACGCGTACTATCAAAGTGTCGATGGTCAAAACTAGGGATGCACTGTTTTTTCTTTTAATGGATATTTTCATCCGCTATGTATGTTTATGGTATTGTTCGTAATGCGCATAAGTCCAATTTTCCAAATTTTTTTTATATATTTTTTGCGTCTCATAGACTCCCTAAGCGTATACCCGAACTCCTATACTCCCTGAAACGACACTCATTCCTAACTGCAAGACGCAAGAGTCTCGCAGGCTTAGTCTTGTTCTTGCTCAAATCTTGTACGGTCAGTCTTGGTCTTGGTCTTGCTAAAATTAGGCGGTCTTGTTCTTGGTCTTGGTCTTGCAAAAATGCAAGAACAAGACCAAGACTGCAAGACCAAGACCGATTTTGGGCAACACTAGTTGGTACTATAGAACGGTACGACAAAAGGTAAAAATAGAGAGTACCTGTAACCTGTCTAAATGTAATAAAAGTGTACAACACTCATATTGGCGGCGTCGACATTGCCGATTCGTTGACTGCTTTGTACAGAATTCGTATGGAAACGTTGGTACATGTCAATATTTGCCCAACTATTAGACATCGCCTTTAACACTAGCTGGCTGTAATATCGTAGAAACTGTGTTCAACTAGGTGAAAATAATTCCTTCTCATCTTTATACCTTGTATTCCATAAGGAAAAATAATTATTTTATGTTTATGGTTATAAATTTATGTTCCTTTTTAACCAGAAGTTGATTGTTTTGTTGATATTTTCAAATAATATTGAGAAAACTGTTCA